AGAAAAATTGGGTGAGACAAATGGTTTTCCGAAAGATCAATTCAAAATTATGAGCTTGTAAGAGTCACCGTAGCCGCCTCCCATTCCCATTGCTCCTGGCATTCCAGGACATTCCCATTCCATATGGACCTGGAAAGACGCTTTTACTGAACGGCTGCATAAATGTTATGAATGACTTACTCATGCCCATTCCGAGCATTCCTGGATATGCTCCCATTCCATATGGTGATCCCATTCCACCCATTCCACCCATTCCACTCATTCCACTCATTCCACCCATCGATCCTGGTAACAGTCAGTATTATCTAGTACCTTCACATTGAAATTAGAGGCGGAGCTTACAGTTAAAGGGCAGCCCACTGTAACTCAAGGGAGGTTGGTCAGTGGTGTAGGGATGAGGGGAACTGTGGCCTAGAATCCGAGAAATGATCCCTCTTCTTTGTCTATTGACCCTTTTCAACGCTAACGCTTTCCTTGCATAGAGCCAGACGGCGAGAGAGTGGGTGTGCCGCGGCGTGAGCGGCGCGGGTATGGCCTTGCTAAGATGCTGTTTGCATACTCTACACTGCAAGACGCGCATCGTCCCGCATATTAGAGGGCCAGCCCTCGAGGTGTACTATTTCCTCTTCAATGACCTCCAACCTTATCGTAGAATCCTCTTTCAATGCATGATGTCGGCGACGCTTATCAATCCTTCCTTGGATGCGCCACGCATTCAAACTATTCACTTAATTGTGCTGCATTCATTCGATCAATTATGGTGAAACATTATATGGACATCCTTCAGGCGGTGGAAGTTGAGCGATCGCGAAAGGAGCATCCCTCTCGGTTCATTTAAGGGCACGGTCCGGGCACGCTCAGCTGTTCTATACCCGATCGTAGTAGACAGGCGGACAAGTGTTGATGTCGCGCCCCTTTTGCGGCTTGAAAGTGCGCGACAAAGGCGCTAGAAGCTCGTCCAACCCGCAACTCACACCTTCGTCCGCAAGCCCCGCCTTCCGCTGTCGGTTGCCACGTGGCGCTGCTTGAAAAGCGCGGGCGCAGTTGCGGCAGCAATTGCATTGCGGTT